TTCCCCGGCGGCAATGGGTTAATGCATTAATTTTGATCAAATGTAAAAATTCATGTCAGGTTGATTAACTATTTTAAACTGAGCTCTAATGTAGTTGGAAATATAGTATTGAAGAAGAGTATTATTTATTTATATTCTTCTTTTTTATGTTGCTTTGATTTGTTTTCTTTTTTTCAGAAAAATTCAAAAAATCTGTAGAAGATTTAGAACAGAAAGCATTAGGCATTCTTGCTGGATCCAAAAATGTGCCAAGCAGTTACAGTGATGTAGACTGTCCAGCTCTTTTTAATGGGGAAAACAATACAGTGAAATATATGAGCAGTTCATTGGAAATGAGGTGAGTTGTGGATGAAATTTCGCATTTTCACATCACAGAATTCTTATTAATATGATTAGCCCATTGCCAGCAGGCATGGCATATATATACATGCCATGCCCATTGGGAGTTTACTTTTTTAATTGTTTTTACACATAGATGGCTACACTTGTACTAAGTCACCAGTGAGCCAATTACGAGTACTGCCTATCTCGCCCGTTCACCCTTTTCATTGGTTTGCGAAAATAGTTCATGTTTTCTTATTTTGCTGTTACAAATGTTTATAACATTATAGTAATTATAATATTTATAATAAAAATAACACCATCAATATTTATAGCATTAGAAAAAAATACGTTTTTCCCGCCAATTCAAGGGAACGTTTAATCAGATAAGGTCTCAAGATCCACTAATTGACTCCTTTGTGGCTAAGCACTAGCAGAGCCATCTATGTACAAAGACATTTCAAAAAATATAAAAAATGAGCATAGCATTTTCCCTGTTTTTTATTCATTTTCCCTGGTGGCAATTGGTTAAGAGATTTAGATCATTCAGTAAAGGAAAACTGTGCTGCTCTTGAAATTAGAATAACATCATGCTGTTTGATGGCTGTATAGAACAAGCAATCAAACCATATCCAGAGATATGAATATGTCTTTACAGAGTCAGCTACGAGTTAGGTCGTCATGTAATAGCAAACCAGAAAATCAGCAAAGGTTCTGTAGTATTTGCTGAGAGACCATATGCTGCTATACTCTTACCTGAGTATCTCTACACACACTGTCAAACCTGCTTTTCTCCAGTATCAAACCCTATCCCGTAAGTATCAGTTTTTTATGTTACTTCAACTACAATGTCTCAATGTTTATTTATTGACTGTTTATGAAATTTGAAGATTGTCTTCTCATTATCCTAACCTAGTTAATGAAAAGGTACTGTGTTATAAACCATACATAAAGTTAGTGATAGATATTCTTATTCATAACCAAATTTGATGACAAATATTCTCAGTTATAATAGCAGCGATGAAGGATATTCACAAATAATTATATTTTTATCATTCACATTCTTATTCTTTAACTCATTGCCGATGGGCATGCCATGCCCACTGTAAGATTACTTATTTGATTGTTTTTACACATAGATGGCTACACTTATACAAAATCACCACTGAGCCAATTATGAGTACTTCCTGTCTTGCCCGTTCACCCTTTTCTTTATTTTTCGAAAATATTTTACGTTATCTTATTTTGCTGTTAATAATGTTTATAACATTATAGTAATTATAATGTTTATAATAAAAATAACATCATCAATATTCATTGCACTTGTAAAAAATACATTTTCCCACCAATTCAAAGAAAGGTGAAATCAGGTAAGTCAGAGCCATCTATGTGTAGAGACATTTCACAAAAAAATTATGAAAAATGAGCACAGCATTTTCCCTATTTTTTATTCATTATCCCCATCGGCAAGGGGTTAATCACGATGATTCTTTTATCACCAGCTGCTGTGAGTGTCGTGATGTTGTGTATTGTAGTGACCTGTGCCAGAGTCAGGGCCAGGCCTTCCACCAGTATGAATGTGGCATCCTCCACATTCTCTCATCTGTTGGCATTGCACATCTGGCTGTGCGCATCATCCTGGTGACAGGGTGGAAACTCCACTGTGATATTAGGTAACACAAGAACAATCAATGAGAAATGAAGATGGTTTTCTCAGTTGATCTAAATAGTTTAGTGTTATTTGATAATATTTTTCTATCTTATATATCTTTTGTATTTGATTTTATATAAATATAAGATATATATCTGTGTGTGTGCGTGCGTGTGTGTGTTCGGTTGTGTGCGTGTGTGCGTGCATGCGTGTGTGTATGTGTAAATGTAAATATAGACAAATACAAATAAAAATTTCAAAATTATGTATATACCTATAAATTAGAATATCAACATAAACATAAATTTATATGGAAATATAAACATAATCATAATGATAGACATATAGATATATCTATATAAATTTATATGTATATATGTATGTGTATATGTATATGTATATATATATATATGTATATATATATATGTATATATATGCATATACATATACATATACATATGCATATATATATATATACATAGGCATATATATATACATAGGCATATATATATATATACATAGGTATAT